TATAATACAATTCAGTGTATATATATATATTTATATAATAACATATATAGTGAAATATATCTGTTAAATAAATAAATACATAGATACATACACAAATACACACACACACACACACACACACATATATATATATATAAATATATTTAGATATAGTTAAAGATATAGATAAACATGTACATACATGATAGAACATAATATAATAATATAATAATATATATACATATCCATATACATACATACATACATACATATAATAATATAATTATATATATATATATATATATATATATAGATATAAATATGTACAATATACACACAGCAAACAATTTAGATGTGAGGACTCTCCACTCTGCAGCAGCAGCTGAATATATAAACATAGCACCCGAGTTAACTTCTATTGATCATTCGATAGTTCATTAACATCCGGGCTATACTATCACGCGAGGCAAAAAAGCTCGCGCATCTCTTTAGTGGAGATAGTTGAAGCTTTCTCTGGAGTATCATATTATCGTCTCGTTCTTGCCGTTTAGAATCACAGTATGCGGGCAACAAACTTGACATTTTGGGCACAGAGATATCCATAGAAATATGAGGAGTGACAAGCGTTTGATTCCACACACCAAACATTTTAGCAGTGATTGCGCATCACTGTCAATTCTTTACATTTAAATTCTACGAGAAAGCCTACCAACGTAAAAACGGAAGACTACTAAATTCCCCACAGCAAATATATACGGGATAGTATATATACCTTTAATTTAAATCTATATCTGCTACAGTTCCAGTCCCTACCTCGGCGGCCCATCCCTCCCGTGTCTGGGTAATTCATAAGGCCGTCGTGGCTTGTGCACTCCCGGCGGGAGTCTGCGCCCCATACCCCTACCCCCACTGCCACCGTACATCGCAGTCTGCGGTCTTGGTCCAAGCAAGCCGCCACGCCCACCACCGAATCCCCCGGAATGAGGAGCTCCGTACTGTAGAGAATGAGGACATTGGGTTTACCGTACGTTTAGTTGGATAGATTTGGGATACATCTTGTGGGATGAAAAAGGATGTACAACAAACAAATACGGGACTAATTGATGAGAGGTGCGCCATACAACTGCATTATCTGACGCGCGTAGCTGCCCTGTAGCCTGACAGCACACTGCGAGCTTCAGACTGTGAGTCAATATAGAACTTGTTTCGAATACAGACATACAGACATATAGACAGTTTGAAGCTACCATTTGTTAGATATATATGCTGGGTTGACAATCGTACAGTGTCACAGTAGCCGTAATTTGACAAAAAGAAAATCTTGTAGGTATGTAGGCGTCCAGTTGTGTACAATTTCAAATATTTTATACTGTCGGAAAGCACAAAGCAGAGGGCAACCGCACGTGTAAACACCAGCGCGTGATCACAGCTAATGATGGACGCAGAGACAGTCCATCGTGCTCAACGGAGACAAACATGGTCACCAACAAAGTAGAATTAGGAACACGTACCGGTGTTGGCCCGCGAATTCCCGCAGGAGGGTACCAAGGTCCAGACCCTTCTCCCTGTATTCGAATGACAATAAACAATCCACAACTCAATATAATACACGCAAATGATACAGACCATCTCAAGAGGTAAGCCAACTGCTCTCTAGGGACGGAATGAGGCATCGCTAATAACACTAGTGTAGCATATGGTTGGTTTGATGCATACACTACCTATGATCAAAGACATTGCGCGACTTCGGGTGTGTGTACAAATGTACAGCACACCCCATGGACAGTGATATCATTTGACCTATTCGAAAGAATGTCTTTTTTGAAAGCGCTTGTAAATCACGGTACCATCACACAAGCGTGGGAGACATACGGGAATAATAATCCTTGAACTTCAAAATATATCTATCGAGCTGGACACGATGCATAAGATATAGACCTTTTAAAATACTAAAACACGAGACTTGGTACAGGTTTCCAAACAGTCATGGTATACTTACAGAGAGGCGTCCATAGGGGCCGTAGATCTCGTTTGCATCACCACCACGCCCCCGACCCGGAGACATGCGCTGTCCGTTGTGATGTATATGAGGGTAGAGAGAGCCTGACGTAGACGACCCGTGACCCAACCCAGGTGACATGGGTGAACGAGAGCGACTGCGACTACGACCTGCGTGTTAAAGGGGTTGGTGGAGGTAAAATTGGGGGACAGTTGAGGATACGAAGGAATGTATAAGCATGTAGGTAAATCAAACTTCACACACACACACACACACACACACATACATATATATATATATATAAATATAAATAAATAAACGTATACTATACATATATATATACATACATAGATACACATACATACACATACATAGATACATACATACACATAGGCACATACATATACATACATGCTGTGCAGTACCGGACAATATACCATCGTAAGTCGATGTGCACTGTGCCGAGTCAACTGCTGTAATCGTTAGCATCTGTCATGGTATACCGCATACCACAACAATTCACACAGAAATACAGTCCATCTGACATACCCAGCGATATATTGCGATCTCTAGACTCTCGCAACGCGATATCGTAGTCCTCCTCATTATTACCCGACCGCACACGTCCCGCAGGAGCTCCCGCACCGGCCGGTCCAAGCGAATCCCTGCCATACCTACCACTGCCACTCGTAGGCCCATTATTAACCCCACCTGGAGGTATCCCAAGGCCTCCTCCGCCACTCAAAGAGTCGCGACTGTTCCGCCGGCTCCCCAACGGCCTATCTCGCACACTGTGCACGCCTTGATTGGGTCCATTTGAGCCCTCAAACGGTTCATCAGGTGCACCGGAACGGGAAATACGGGACTCACGGTCTCCGCGTTCTCTACCGTAGTCACCGGCACCGCCTCCTGTACTGCCACCACCGCTACTGTTGCGATAGCCTCGGCTGAGACGGTCGCCGCGGTCGCGATCACGTATACCGCGATCGCGATCATCTCTTTCCCAGTCATTGAAAGGGGGTCCCTGTATGTCATTTGTACGTGTCGGTTAGGTTACTATTTGCATTTATATTCAATCACAGTCAGGCGAATTTAATCTCTGTAGTCGGCCAAGGTGCTGAGTAGATATCCGCAAGAAAGCCCATGGACACTCTACATGTCTGAGTGCGAGCATACGCACTATCTGTACGAAACACACACATACTATATATATATATATATATATATATATATACATACATATACATATACATATACATATATATATATATATATATATATATACACAATACCGAACCTCTATCCGGCGAATCACAAAAAAAGCAACGAGCGAGCATAAACTGATGCACCAGAACCTCGTATACACTCCACAGATTCACAAAAGCGCAGTATAATCATCGGAAGTTACCAAATGAGACAAAAGGGGGATTCTCTGACCCGCACACACCTCACGGTCGCGTCCAGGGCCTACCCCAGATGACCGCCGGGCAGAGCGATCACGACTATCTCTCGAGGGCTCTCTCGATCGTCTCCCAATTATAGGACCACCCCTTCCATCATTCCTAGACATCCCCCCAGTCGCTGTAGCGCCCGAACCTACCCCACTACCACCAGAAAACTCGATCTTTGCACTCGAATCGGGCTTCGTGCCAACACCTGTATTGGTGCCCGTACCGGAATTCATACCCGAAATACCGGGACCATTGCGGTCTGAGACCGAGTGTACCGAACCGGCTGGCGAGCCCTGTCGCGAAAATCGACGCACGCTGTTCAAGCGGATAGTTCCCGCCAAAACCGCACCACTCAATGCGGCATCGGCTTTACCTGCGGAGTTCATTCTGGTACTAGGGTCAGTTGGGATTCCGTTGCTCCCTCTCCGGGAGGGTGCCCCACTGCCCGGTCCGGTGGCATCATTGGAGGTCGCTGGGTTGTTGAGCGAATTGAATTTGAGGTTCATATTGCTGAGGCTACTGTTATTATTGATACTGCTGTGGATATCGCCACTGTTATAAATACTATTACTATTACTATTTTGACCAGAGTAATTGGGGTGGTTTGAATGAATGCTGCCAGTATTGAATCCGGGAGAAGACCCACCCCCACCAAACGCCCTTTCAAAGCCCGACGGTGTATGACCACCCCCGTCGCGGCTCCGGATATCCCGCGCACCACTATTGCCCCGTGCGTCCCGCTCGTGCATCCTGTCTCTGCCTCTCTCCCCATAGTACTTGATATCGCCACCATCCCAACTCCTACTATCTCTATCCCTTCTATCCCTTCTATCCCTATCTCTGTCTCGGTCTCGGTCTCGTTCCCTGTCCCGGTCTCGTTCCCTGTCCCGGTCACTATGTGCGCCTTCACCCCTAGTGCTCCGCGAGTCACTTACGTTGCCGCTGTTGCCCCCCATGGACCGTCGATCATCGTCAATCCCATACCTACCAGAATACGTACTAGCTCCAGAAAACGTACCCATCTCAAGCCCCATCAATCTCCCTCCCCCGCTCCCGCCTGTAGTATCAGCAGCTGTGGATAGCCGTTTCTCGAGACCCCCAATTCGTTTTCTCAAGGATCCCGACAATTTCGCCGTACACAGACGCGTCTCCTCTTCATCCCTTTCCGCCGACGACGACAAGCGCGCCGGAAACCTATCACTAAACGCACTCCCCATTTTTCTCACAGCCGGCTTCTCCCGCGCCCCTATATCCTTATCTCCTACCCCCATCACCGGCCCCGTAGAATCCACTCCACTGCGTGAGGCCGCCAACACACCTGACATACCCGTAGTCCCGCTCCCCCCTGCCCCACTTTTACCAGAAGCGCCCTGTCCTGTCAGTATCGCCTGTCCGTGCTTGGTCGTGTCAGCACTCGTGCCCTCAGTACCAACAGCGTTGGCACCGGTAGACCCTCCTATGCGCAGAGACAAGAGCTTAACACTCCCTTCAGAACTCTTGGCTTGCTCAGTACTGGTTGGTCGCCCGTGCTGTCCGTCTGCAACCACACTACTAGTGCTACTACCCGTACCACTATCACTGGGGTGGGCAGTGGTGTCTACACTCGTGTCTGTCTTGACTTTCTTACTTGACGTAGTCGAGATCAACCGGGAGGTCGGATGCGTGTTCTTCGTTCTCGGCGGCTCGGGTCGGACTGACTTAGGCTCGGCTTTGGCAGACTTGACCGCCCCAGAAGTAGTCTCGTCCATCCCCTTGTTTTGTGTCAAAGCGTCTTTCATCGGTGCCGCTTTCGTTACCTTCACATCCTGCACAGCGCCTGCTGGTGACGTGTGCGACTCATTTTTACTGGGCAAGGGTGTAGATGCACTCTTTGGTTGTGTCAGGGTGGTTGGAGATACGAATGCGTTCACAGACGCGTTCTCCAGTTTGGCGCCTGCCGTTTCCTGCCGCTCGAGGCCGGCCTTCTTTAGAGTAGTGTGCATGGCGGACAGAGTTAATATCGGCACACTAGATGACGTGCACAGCTTCGGTTGGCGATCCATAGCAGTAGAGGCCTGCCCATTTATCTTGCCTTGATCTGTAATCACAGTTTCACTTGCACTTGGGGTTGTACTGAGATTGGAGATCGAGCTTGCATTCAGATTGGGAATGTCACTAGATACTGGTTTCGTTTCCGCCTTCGCATTCAGGTTCGTGAGACTCAATTCTCGTTTTCGCTGACGCAGATATTGTGCGAAACTCAGTTTTTGTTTCGGCTCTACCGGTTTGACCTCGGTATCGCCCACCTGCTTCTCCCCCTTAGCCGGCGCTTCTTTTTCACCCGTTTTACCTGAGCTTTCAACGGTCTTTAATGCATCCGGCTTTTCGGATCCAACAGTCTGTTCTGATGGTTTCGCAACATCGTCCTTCGCCGTATGCGATACTACAGCCGTGTGGTCCGAATCAGTACCACCTGTAGTAGTAGCAGTCACAGCCGAACCGGGGATTTCCGTAGCCAATACACCGGTTGCCATGGAAATCTCAATGCCCCCCTTGGCCGGTCCAGCCGTCATCGCCCCTGCAGACGAACCCCCGCCTACTATTCCGCTGCCATTGGCTACAGTTCTGGACTCCTCCGCATTCGTATCGCGGTCTTTAGAGAGGATGTCAGACACCGCTGTTCCCCCGGAGCTGCTAGCCCTATCCGGTCCGGTAGAATTCGTGCCGGAGGCACTCTCGGTAGAATCTCCGGTTGCTACGACTTCCTTACCGTCGTGTCTATGGTCGGCATTCTTCGAATCATCCTCCATCGCCATGTCGTCGACTTTGACCCCATTAACAGCATTTGCCCTACTATTTGTTGTCAAGACATCACAGGGTCTAATCGTACTACCGCCAGCGTCGATCGGCGTATTCCCATCTTTGACCTTATCTTGATCAACCACTGGAGTGTCTACATCCATGTCTGTAAGCAATTTGGAGCCTTGGACACCTCCTCCGACCTTCGCAGATTTTGGTGCGCCGTTGCTTGTGTCTGTCTGTAGTTTAGTGCCATCACGATTGGACTCGCTCTCAGCACCTCTCGTCTCGGTTGTATTCTGGCTCGTCGCAACCAACTGGTGAGAAGTCGTATCCCCTTTACTTCCAGGCTTGCTTGTCCCGACACTCGCCGCATTGCCCTCTAGCTTCCCCGTGTACTCAGATAAACTGATGACCTTTTTCTTTTCCGGTCGGGACGGGGCCGGCTCGCTGGCTGTAGCAGCCTCGGCGGCCTTGGAAGTAATTACCACACCCGCCGTCTTGTCCTTATCCTTACACTCACTAGCAATACCATCCCACTCGCCCTCCAGCACGTCTACAACATCCGTTTCCGCGACAGGCACATCCCCACCTCCCGCCATACCTACGGCCCGGTCACTTAGCAATCCGTTCCTTTCGTTCTCGGCCAGTGACGGAATCCCCCCATCTCCCTTGAGATCAAGTGCCTGTTGGGTTTCGGTGAGAGCTTGTGTCGTATCGGTGCCTGCACCTGCCTGAGTGGAGTAGGGTTTGGCAAAGTGTGTGGCCTGTTCTGCGCCCGAAGAGACTTTCGAGGCGTTTTCCAGTGCAATGGCTTCCCTTACCTCCCGTCGCCACGCATTCAGATCAGCTTCCTTCCTGCGCTCATACTCTTGCTGTTTGTGTTTGATTTCCTCATCGTACTGCAACACCTTTTTCAGAAGCAAAAACATCTCTGTTTTCTGTAGAGCGATTCAGGGGGAACTCCTTAGAAGCCAGAAGAGACGGCGAAAGAAAGTACAACACCACGATCGTTTTCTAACACTGAACCAAATACTAAACCCAACATTTGTACCCGTACCTACACCTGCTATGAAGCGCACCATGGTGGAGGATCTCAAGTCGAGAACCTCATCACGAAATTACACGTAATACATATATATATAAACTGAATATGGCGGGGGGGTCTACCCGGAAAGAACAGCACATGTAGCATTGAACGTACTTTACCGCGAGACAGTATACATTCTATTCGGCTCAGTAAAGTCAAACAAGAAAAAACCTAAGCTACAGAGAGCAGCCAAATGTGCGGTACAAAACAGCACTATGAAGTAGCGGGTACAGGTGATGACTTTCTTTGAGCACTCGACCCTATAGAATAACATACTAGTTCTGTCAACTGAGCCAGCTCGCCGTTGAGCTTCTCGATCTCCTTCTCATTACGATCATGTTCTTTCTGCAAATCCGCACAGGCTTTGATCCGCCCAGAAATTTTCTCTAAAGAAACAATGCTCAATGAGTGAAGTGCACACAAGGAAATATATAATTGTAGGTAAAATAAAGACGGACAGACAGATCCAGACATACAGACACAAACACACAAACACACAGACAGACACAGACAGACAGACAGACACAGACACAGATACACAGACACACATATATATACATATATATACGCACACACACACAAACACAAAAACACACGCATATATATATATATATATACGCACACACAACACAACACACACACACATACATATATATATATATATATATATACATTATATATACATATATATATATATATATATATATATTTGTATATTTATATATATATATATATTCGTATATATAGATATAGATATAGG